TAAGAGAAAATTGTGTTAAATATTTTTGTTGTTGTGACAATCCTAAATATTGACTCTAAATAAGAATTTTAAACCACCTTTATATAGAAAATTTAACATAAATATCATTCGGATACGGATACAGCGAGTAAAGAATTCATAATTTCAAACAAAAAACAACTAAGAAAGATATATATCTTAACCGATAACTGTTTTAATGGTAAAATAACGTATATCACTTTTGAATTGTAGAAAAATAGATCTTAAGTAGTCGATTAAAAATTAGCCAGAAAAATTGAAACTTTTTTCAAACTACTAGTATTACTAAGTAAACTAATATACTCGTACTTATATAAACAATGTCAAATTTATTGCCAATATTTACACAAATTTTGGAAATGGTGTTATTTGAAAGTAGCTAGGTTTCTGATAGAAAAAAAAACATTTAGATAACATATTTTTAACTTAATTTTGTTCTTTCTATTTGAGACTACCTATAGACTTTACAGACCATATCTTTATATATTCCCACTGTTTAAGTCCTACATTTTTTATTTCTGATAAGCACCATAACTGGAATGAAACACATTGTTAAACCAATATTATTATATCATATGTACAAAATAACTTACTATTGAACTCTTCTAATATAATAACCAGACCTTTATCAAGTTTTTGAGACTTGTCACAAACCATCTGCTAATATAAATTATAAAATGTTATATCACATATATTGGATTGTAATGTCCAAATCGTATAATTAAAATTAAAATATATCAAATTATTAATAATATTAAGCAAAAGTTGTTTAGGATCAAATGTTTGTTTTGGTTTACTTTATTTATTAATTTTTTTTTTCTATTGGGAGTGCGACACTACCATTTTTTGTCCTAATTTCATATAATTTGCTTGTCTTAAACTTTGGAACTGTTATGTTTAATTTTAAATAAAGTTGTTTTCAGTTACATTACTTATAAAATGGTTACTGAAGACCCTTAAACAATTTCAAAATTGTCCTGATTTGATTGCATAACAAGCAAACTCTGAAGTCCTATCTGAAATACAATATACATTCATTTTGTGTATTTATTCGTTCATACTTACTACACGTAAAACACTTTTTTTATGAATTTAATAAATAAAATATTAGTTAGAAATGTTCACTCAATTTTACCAGCCCTAATTTTTTAATGTTGAATTTGAATTCATTACTTTTTATTACTATTATCTTCTGTGTTCGAGTTACTGCTTTTCTCAAATGTTCATATCTTGATTTAATGTCCATGCTTTGCCCTATTTGTATCTGGTACTCTTATTTATAATTTTTTATCACTAACTGTGGATTTAATTTATAAAAACGTTAATTTTTATACATCTTTAATAATTCAAGTGTAAATTCTCCGACAAAGCTTGTAAATATATCAAATATATAACTACAATTTTTTATTTCATTTTTGTTGAAATATTTTTAGTATCTTTTGTTTTATAGGAAATGATATTTTTTGTTTTTGATTCTATCAAACCCGAAAAAATTGGGTCAAAACAGTTTGAAATTATTTTTTTAATATTCAACTTCACCTACATGAACTTAAGTGCTTAAAAAACATCTTGGAAGTAAATTGTTTAACAATTTTAAATTGTTTTTTTAGTAAATTATTATGAAATTTTAAAAAATAATTTTAGTTCATAACTTTACTGTTAAATTCTTAATCTAGTTTAAAGATTTATAAACAGTAAAAATTTTTGTCGGTTAAATTTGAATGGGGAAAAAGACGTGATTTATGTTTCTAGATGTAATACTTTGATTAAAGCTTAATGTATAATAGCACTTCCACATTTAAATTATTCCACAGTAGTTTTAACATAATGCTTCAAACAATAAGAATAATATCATTTAACTTATAGTTAACTCATCTCTTTTATTGTTCTCAGTAATAGATATTTTCATAAAATTATTACTAAATACTAAATTGTTAGTGTATTTCCCAATCATTATTTTCTTGTAATCGTATTTGGTGTGCTAATTGAGACTAGCCTCTCTGACTTGAGAGAGGCTAGTCGTTTCTTTTATTTTTGCAATGCTCCATATTGTTTGCGAATAGGACAATATTGTCGACGTAATTTAAGCCTTCCAGTTATTGATTGTTTCTCTAAAATAATACACTATTGACTAAGGTAATACATTGAAATATCAAGTCTAAAGCATCAGCAAATAATAGCCAAGGTAATACATAAAAATATGAAGTCCAGAGTATTAGCAAATAATAGTGGCAATAATATACGAATAGAACTTTGTTTACCACTTATTTAGCATTAATATGGTTCATTAATTAATAAAACTTTCACTGAATTCCTGGAACGCTTCCACTTCTAGAACATGTTATGCCTTTATATACAATATAGCCTGATTAGTAAGCCTTGATAAACGTTTTACTGAATTTTTGAATCACTTCCACATCTAGGACTATTCAGATAGCATTGGGATCCATAATATCAAAAACTTAAGGCTAATGTCGCTGACTACAGTAGCGAAAAATGTCAGAACCGTAGTTTAGCAAATGGATTCTAGTACCGCTACTGTATTCAATATAATTGAACTACAGTGAATGTAATCCAACTACTGTAGCTAACGACTTCAGTTAAATCGTGCGTTGGGCATTAGCAATCTTGTATAGTCAGATTATGTTTTTTTTTCAGCCATGATAAGTCTTTCATAAGTTTAAATATTTAAAAATTTAATACTACAAAAGCTACACTTACACTAATGATTATTGCTGATAATTTTTTTTATTGGCTCAAAAATGAAGATACAATAAATGCTGTTTGATTTTCTATTTTTACTCTATGTGAAGATAGTTTATGCTACTATAAAACAAAATCTAACTTGTTTTCTTCTTTACATTTATAAATATATATGTATATATACATTTTATTTCTAAATATTAGTTTTAATTATGATTCATTTAGGCTTGAATGACTTCATTTTCTGCAAAAAAGTTAAAGACTATAAGAATTTCAAATATGTCAAAACAATACATTTGATATCAAAACTTAAATATAAACATTGAATACTTACCAGCCCATACTTGGCTTTGGTTATGGCTGAGTAATTTGTAATTCGTTCAGTAAGAAAAGGGTTAATATATACGAGTATATACCGTTTGAAACCTTTCAAATGATTGCAAGAAGAAACCTGAAAGTATAACTTTTATTTTATTTGAGACCAGTAAATGTGCCATTAATACTATTTTTTCACTTTTCCAAAAAATTGAAAAGAACATTTTTGTACTCTTTAAATGTCGTTACAACTAAATTGTTTAAATACAATTTTACATTCAGAATTTTTCTTATATAAAATAAAATTAAAAAAAAATAATAAAATGAAATTTGTCTTTAAGAGTGCAGCAAACCGTAACCGTTGACGGTTATTAAACTGAGCAACAAAAAAAATGGCAAAAGTATAAAGTATTTACCACAAAAAAAAAATATTTTTGAAGTTAATAGACTTGAATTACTGCAAGACTGTTCACCCTAGTTGACTTCTTGAACACTGCAATGTTTATGTTCAGTTCCATTTGCAGTTATTCGTAACAGCGTAGATTCATGCATAGTTCCGTTTGTGGATAGGACACCACACACCCTCGCGTTTCAGTTAAGGTTTGAAGAAATATTATTAGCTAAAGAAATTCCAACTTTAACGTATTTAATACTAAGTGGAGCATTTTAAAAATTTAAAATTATTAGTAAAGTGCATATTTTAAATTTTAATTGTCTTTGGTTGAATTTTTTGCTATTAAGTTTAGTACTTTATTGATGTTTTTGTGATGCTACAGATTAAAAATTGCGATCTTTTACACAAAACTATTTCCAATGGAAATAACGTATTTGTGTTAGAGTATGGTTGGTTGGTTGCAGTGGCAATCCATTAGATAACTTCCATGTACCTCAATTAGCGCTTTTTCGCCGTTTTTTTACCACATACCACATTTTACCGCAAGAACCCTAGTATAGAAGAGTAGAGACTAAATCCATCCCGCCGAATTTAGATAATTTAATAGGTCTTTCGTCTTCACCGATTAACAAGTCTGATAAACTATCAAAGAAGTATCTTCCTAAGAACCTATATCTTCTGGATGCCAAAGCCGGGCATTCACAGAGAAAATGTATTATAATTACTTTTTAATACGGGTTTCCACAACGCCTGCAGTGAGGATTATGGGGAATGCGCGTTACTCTGCGTGGCTTCCTATACTGAACTGCAGTAAGCCTTGCAGTGTTCACCCGAACTCTTTTGATGAGTTTTGAGGATATATTTTTATTATGCTTTTAAGTGCTTTTCATCTGTTATTGGCAAATTGCAGAAAGTAGATGAAGATACTTCACTTAATGGTCTCTAGGGTAATATAAACCGGTACCGCCAGAGACACATCCAGGGCAGCACCAGAGCGCGTACTTAGAGTATATTTCCACTACTTTTTTTAAAATATATATACTAATATATATACTATATAAATGATTAAATGAACACTATATAAATAAGGAGTGCTTCATAAGATCACACAAATTAGTTCATTTGAATCATATAACTTCATGCCGAAGAAGGAAAATTTAAAATACTAAAACTAAAAATAATTTCAAATTTTATGCACTAAATCAGAACGGAAGCAAATTATATTTTCTAGTCATAAAATGGTCATTAATGATTATAACTAAATTTTTCATTATAAACACAAACGCTTTCTTACTCGTATGTTCAGCAAATGTTTGCATATAAAAACTCCAGCATGTCTGCTCCAAATTATAAATCATCATTTCCAACTTTGTATAGTTTTTGTGCGTGCTTTTGTTTATGTTTTTACCAGGAAATTATGTGCACATATGGCGAAATAATAACAACATTTTTTCGGTTCACATTAATTTTCTTACAATACTACAGAATAAATATACTATAATATATATAATTGTTCAGCAAATTTTCAAAATGTTACAGTACTTAACATATTTTTTTTTTACTTACAGCATTATTTTATTTTCTGATAAAAGCTGATAGTATCACAACGAAGTACCGCAGCAGCCCCCGCAGCAGTCTTTTCTGTAAGTTCAAATTATAGAATGTCACATGATAAAAAAATGCTTGATCGTGAAGCAGTTCGTTCAGTTATACAACAATGGAATGCAAATCGTTTGGATCTCTTTGCACTATCCGAACCAGATGAGGTTTGTTTATACTTGTATATGTATAGATAAAAATCGTTATAATAAATATTTAATTTTGTCTTTACACGTTTTTACAGAATTTATTATTTCATGGTGTTATGCGCTTTTACTTTCAAGATGCCGGACAAAAAGTTGCTACAAAATGTATACGTGTTGCATCCGATGCAACAGTATCTGATGTTATTGGTAAGTATATTTAACAACATTTGCCCTATTCAGTTATAATTCCGCTTTCGACTTATAGACACACTCATCGAAAAGTTTCGCCCAGATATGCGTATGTTATCAGTGCCAAATTATGCACTCTACGAAGTGCATGCAAACGGTGAAGAACGTCGTTTAAATCCAGATGAGAAGCCATTATTAGTACAATTAAATTGGCATATCGATGATCGTGAGGGACGTTTCCTGCTTAAAAACATCGATCAAAAAACAACGGTAAGTTTTTATGCATTTAATACAGTAGAGTCACAACAAGAAATATAAATAAGAATTATAAATAATTTCAAAATATGAGTATGTACGATTATTACAAAATTTTTAGAAACAAAAGGAAGAACAATTTTTAGTTTCTACACTTCTAATATAATGTTGTATTATAAAAACTAAAACAAACAACATGAATTATTTCACAATCACTTTTATTTTATTTCAATACTTCGACTTTTATCCAAAAGTTCTCCTATTAAAGAATGCTTTAATAATTGTATGTCATTTGCTCTCTAAATCCTGCTGCACTCTATTTAGTTCGAGTTATAGAAAATTCGAGTTATAAAATTTCGAGTTATGGAAGCTAACCCGAACTGTATTTACATATATTATATTAAAAATAATGTAAAAATTAATGTAAATTAATAAAAAAAATTTTCTTAATTTTTATTTTTAACAATAATTTCTTTACTTCTAAAAAAAACTAAATATTTTAAGAACACGACGTCATTCCTACTGTTACACTTACTTCTTTCTATACAATTTCTCTTTTCTCTTTGTTTATCTTATTCTATCCTAATCACTTCATAAGAATTAATAAGTGGTAATCTATTGATTAAGCACTATTAGAGAAGAAACGAAGATAAACTTAAGTTCAGCAATATTGAGCAATTCAGCAATATTTATAACTAAAAAATATTGTTATTTTCTATATTTTACCTATATCAAATTTCTGAAAATAAAATTCAAGCTTGATGTTATCAATCAATTACTCACTTTCAACACTTTCATACAGTTTAATCAATTTTTAAGTTTGAAATGTCCAACACTATTTAAACCAATACATACAAACATCCTTTTTTATTTCTACAAATGTTTTTTCCACAAGCACAACCAATCACAGTTCAAGTATACTAATTTTCAATCTAATAAATTCATTTAGTGTGGCCTCATGCAAACCTCAAAAACTACATCAATATGTTGAAGCTAAATGAAAATAATCGTATAACTCCTCTACCAAGGAGTTATGCCAAAACACTTTCTCGGTTAAATATTTATATATATATTTTTTTTTTTGCTTCTCTTTATCTTTTACTTGCTGATGATTGTTAATCTAAGTGTGAATCCATACTAAATAGCTTTAAATTAAATCTTCATAGCTTCATAGTAACTCAAAATCGTTTCTTTTTACTTGGTCTTCTCTTACTTTTTCCAACTCTAACCTTTGTCTAAAAAATTAATGTTGCATGCAAGTTAAAGTCGCAATGTTTCTACTCTGTTGTAAACAAGGACTTAAACAAGGACCATATGAAACGATATACTGGGACAATTACATCTTTTTTAATACAAAAGGAAGGTTTTAGAAATGAAAGTCAGGATGTTGTTCATTCAAGATAGAGTTCCCTCTGCCTCCAGAATCACTGTTAAGGTTAAATGTTTAAAGTTACGTTTGGTGTTTAGTGCAAACTTTAAATGTATTTTTTGAAAGTATTTTTGTTATAATATTTAACAATACAATTTATATTGCTTCAAACTTAAGCAAACAAGACTCAAATTTTGTAGCACTACAATGGAGTTATTAGTAGTACAATCAAGTTGAAACATTTCTAAATTTAGTAATAAAAAATTATCGAAAACACAGCATTTCTGTACTTCAAAACAGTCATCTACAATTATATTTTACCTCTTGTACCACTGCATCCATCCATCCACCCATCCACTTGAGGTTAATTTACCATTAATAATGATTAAATTTACTAAAAATTATTATATTTGTTTTGTGTTCTGTTCTGTTCTGTTCTTTTTATGACCACTTATGTACGTGTGCATTGTATAGCCCATCGAACAATCAGATATGAACTTCAAGAGAAAACTCTCGAAGCGTGAAAAAAAGGAACAAAAAAAGAAAGAAAAGCTTGCTAAACTTAATTCAGATGCAGTTGGTGGCATTCATGGTGTCAGTACGAATGGTAACAGTGCGAATAGTGGCGATGGTGAAGCACAAGTAGCAGGCAAACTTTATACAGAATTGCCAGAAACTTCCTTTACACGTTCCATTTCAAATCCAGAAGCGGTAATGCGTAGACGAAGGCAACAAAAACTAGAAAAGAAATTACAACAGTTTCGTTCACGTGATGGCGGACCAGATACAGGTGGAACGTTAAAAATTTATGGCGAAAGCTTATGCCAAGATGTGCCTTATAAGACGCTATTATTGTCGATACGAGATTGTGCGCAAGCAGTTGTTAGAGAAATGCTGTCAAAATACGGTTTAGATAAAGCGGATCCATTGCATTATTGTCTAGTGCAGGTTTGCATCATTAATTTTCGCAATTTCTATCTAAATTTATTCCTAACTATAAAAATATACTTGATTTTGCAGGTAAACAGTGATGGTACAGAATATATACTTGATGATGACGAATGTCCACTATCCATACTGATGAATCATCCCACTTCAAGGGGTAAGTTAAAAATTTTACTATTTTCATAAAAAAAACAATATGAATTCTTTAATAATTTATGGCTTAAAAATAATAAAATCACTTATGGCTTTGAATTAATAAATTCCCTTACATAAAAATAAGTTAAAAATTCCTTATAACCTATTGAACAGGAATAAATATGTTTGAAAGACTACATAAAAGGTTGAATGATTGACAGGTGAATGTAAATTCTGAAACAGGTAATCGTTTTCCTTCATTCATAGCTCATTTAACCGCCACGTTTTTCAGCAACATACATATACCCTTCTATCCTTAAGCAATCAAACTGAATTTTATGTTATATTAACATACAATTAGTGAATGTTTTGTCAATAACTATGACTAGACATACCATAACTAACCAAGTATCCTGCTTACCTTGAGAATATGGGATCCTTAGTTTACTTTCTATGTATTTATGCTATGGCGGCTAGAATTTTTATTTAAGTTAGTGTTAAAACGAATTCCAAAACGTGCATATCAGAACATGAAATACTTTTGGTATTTCAAATGATTTAATATTAATAAAATATTTCAGAAAGTAATTTATACTTTTCAAAATAAAAATATTTCAACATTCTTAAACTGAATTTTGTTGGACCATTTTATTATTTATAAATTTATTAACTAAAAATATGACTATTAAAAACTGAATTCCGAGCTGTTCCGAATAAATATATGTAATTAATATAAAGGAAATTTGATTTTTAAAAAATCAATTAATATAAAATTAGTGATAAGTGAATAAAATGAATGTGTAAATATATATGTATATGTAAATAGTGAATCTTAGAAATATAACAGAAAATAAATCAGAAATATTTTATACGTATATATTTGAATTTTTTAAATTAAATTTAAATTTTTAATATGAATTTTTTTGTAAGGTTATAAAGTACATTACTAATATATTTATATATAAAGATTGTCCCTTAATAAGATCGCAAATAAAAGTAAACATCCCTTATAACTTGTTATATATCTTAAATATTAAATAAAAATTAAATAAAATAAAAAAAAAGTAAAATAAATTAATTCCAATGCCTCAAATTGCGACTAAAGAGGTCTGCGATAAGCTTCGTAAGTGCATATAGACTATTTAATTTTTTTTTTATTATTAATTAGTTTAATCAGTATTTTTTATTCATCTATATATTTAATTATCCATCATATTTATTTTATTATTATATATTTCTAAAAAAAAGCTTTTTTGGTTATATATTTATGTAAATTATCTTGAAATTCTGAGAAAAACAAATAAATTCAATTTATTAGGTGTAGATTTTGTCACAAATTCGCATTCGCTAAATGTTATGTATAAATAAATAAATAATATGTTGCCAAGGAAATATTAATATATTGAACTACTCTATATTGGTGTTTATCCTATGTAACCCAAAAATATTTTCTATATACCTTTTATATATTTATAATAAATATAAACTTATAAATAAAGTTTGTTAGTGAAATTGTGTTAAGCTTACCTCATTATTACTTAATGAGGTCGCAGTACTCTATAAAAAATTTAGCAGTTAATAATTAATGACAATGCCAAAAGTTTCAACATATGTATATATAAAGAAAGTATGTAAGCGTAACTTCTTATTTTATTTTTTGTTATAAATTAATTTGTTTTTTATATAATGATTATGAATATATATACATATATAAATTTTGTAGGTATAAATATGTTGTAGATTATTTAGATAAGTATTTATACGTCTGAGTTTATTGGATCCTATATTTTATATCTTATCTGAGTATACCCTTTATGAAAATTCCCACTTTCTATAAAATAAAGGAATACACTTAAGTTGTTCAATATACAACTATAGTTCCCAAAAACTATATGGCATCCATGATCAATATTTTATGACTTAAATGTTATTTCTATCATTGACAAGTTTTTTGAAAATTATTGGTCATAATTGATAACGATTGGCTTGTAAGCTGAAAATGTGATAAACACCTTAGTAATTTACACGATTTTAAATAAACTTAATATATAATTTATATTTATAAAAAAAATTATATATATAAAAGAATATTCTAGAGAATATTAAATAATTTAATGTTTACAATACAATTTTACTAATTCTATTATATCTCGAACGTAAATGAAATAGACATTATAGGTTTCCTTCGATAATTATTATGAACTTTGTGCATAATTTGAAATTTGAATTTATTTCAATTTGAACTGTAATAATAGGTTTCCTTCGATAATTATTATGAACTTTGTGCATAATTTGAAATTTGAATTTATTTCAATTTTAACTGTAATAATACCGATGAAATTGTTATAGTACTTAAATCATAATACTATATTTTTTAGAATTATAAACATAGAGTTGTATTATATTAGACTTTTATATTAAAGGAATTTAAATAGGTAATTTAGCAACCACACTTAGGTTTTGTCAGACCTAATAAATTTTTGTATATAATAAAATCAAGAAAAATCAAAAATAAAACAAATCGATTTATAGTAATAACTATGAACGAACTATTAAATAAATACAAACTAAAACATTTTCTTGTTTTTATATATCAAATACTTTGTAAATGCCTTAAAATTAATTTATTATATTTTTTGAATTGTTTACTCCCTGGAAATAATTTGAATGTTTTGTACATGCAACTTTAATTTTTTTCACTGTGTACTGGAATTAATCATAAATATAAACAGCTGATTCATATTAAAGGCCACACTAAGAACTTGAACCTTAGGTATGCGCATGTCCTTTAAGAATAATTTGCCATTTGTTGCTGTAAATAATTGTTTCTCTCGGAAAGAATCCAAAAATAAAAAAAATGGATATTACAGCATAACAATTATGCCACCCTCACCGTCAATAGCCCACAGGGCAAATTACACTAAGAAGAACAACAAACACAAACACATATAAACCCAGCTGATTGATATTTAAATAACATTAAAGATACAAAAATGTTTACAGACAGAGCCTTTAGACATAAGAAGAGTATGAAATTGTTTGAATAACATTATTAAGCCTAATGGAGAGCGAATTTACATCTCTTTAACATTTTACACTTTTGTGTTTTCACAATTTCTGAATGTCCTTCCGCACCGTTTGAACTAAAATTGTAAACAATCCTCCCGAATGCCACATGTTGCGGCATTTAAAATTTTTTATGCCCATTATAAAAAGCGCTTACGCGGAATATCAATGGAAGCGTATCCTCGTACAAGCCACAGGGGAGTTAATAAGGATTTAGTTAAGCGGTTTATGTATGGATATGCACAAGTATTATTATTTGGCATGTCATTTATATTTGATTTCACAAAGTACACATTTAGGTATTTACATGTAATAATTTATTATTTACACAATTTGTAGTTTATATTGTCGCGTTTTTGTGGTAAATTTTTATGAGATTATGAGTCGAACCAAAAGTAATTAATTAATTTTAACGCAAAGTCTCAGGAGGCAGTTAACGAAAAGCTTTTATTCATTAAACAGAATTATAAACATTTTTTATGGAGATCTTTTTCGAACAGTAGTGAATTGCAACAACAAAATTTTATTATTTTTAATTAATTAAATTTTTGACTGACCATACGGTTGTTTTGAGTATATTGTCGAGTACCTATCATCATCATCAATGGTTTTTTGAAATAATTTATTGTTGGTACATACTTTTTTTCTGTTAAAAACAAAAATTAAATTTAAAACATTTTCTATATTATTTTTATTCAGTATAAAAGTTTAAGAATGGTACAATGATATATTAAAAGATACTTAAAATCTTTTTAATGAAATGAGCCGGAAACTTTTCAATATAATACATAAATATATAATAAGTTAAACAAAAATGTTATTTATAACGTTGTATCTCAATAATGTCATGCAATTGGCATCATTCTTCAGTATGCTTCAATAATCTATACATTCTATTATTTACTTAAGAATAATTTAAATACTTAAAGTCTTTTTAATAAAATTGGCCGGACAGCTTCTTAATATAATATACATATATAATATATATAATATAGTATATATAATATAATATAATATAATATAATATAATATAATATAATATAATATAATATAATATAATATAATATAATATAATATAATATAATATCCGAAAGATGAAGAAAAATATATTTTTAAAGTTGGATGTCAATAATATCATGCAATTGATATCATTCCTTTAATAATCTATACATTCTATTATTTACTCAGTAGAATACTTTAGCACTTTAGATACTTAAAGTATTTTCAAAAAAATGAACCGGACAGCTTTTCAATATATATATATATATAATATCCAAAAGTTAAACAAATATATTTTTTAAGTTGTAGAATACTTCAGCATTTTAGATACTTAAAGTATTTTAAATAAAAAGAGCCGGGCAGATTTTCAATATATATAATATCCAAAAGTTAAACAAAATAATATTTTTAAAATTGTATCTTAATAATGTCAATTGACATCATTGTTCAGTATGCTTTCATAATCCATACATTTCATTATTTATTTATACAATAAACTATGAATTGCAATATGCAGTATAGTGGCACTGTATTTTATTAATTCAATTTGTCATTGCTTATAAGTACATATTTTATATGCATATAACTTATTTACAATCTGTTCTAAAGAAATACATAAATAAATTCTTTTCACAACTTCGAAATGACAGGAAAACTAAGCTTTTAAACTAACTATTATATTCTACTTATGTTGTCTGTTGCCTTGAAAGTATGTTTATTTAAAACTCTACAATTTATTCGTCAGATCAGGTACTTGGGATCTTTCAAGTTTTCTTATAGTTAAACTGTTATCTTTAAATGTTGAAATTTTTGTGTTAATTTTTATTAGAAGCATAGAATTGAGCATTAACTATAGTTCGCAGTGAATTTTTTCTGCAAATATTCAAAAACTTCAGTACTATAATTAGTTGCGTCCCTCTTTATTGCTTACCATACGGCCATACAAGCTTTGTAATT